TCTCTGTGGAAGTTCATCTGTGTGTTCCCAGTGCTGCAGACCCCACTCTAGGCCCTCCCAGCAGTGAGGCCTCGAGGGAAACAGAGGCTCAACAGCACACACCAGGCAGAGCAAATGGCATGGAGCCAAGCCTAGACACCATCGCCACTGAGGACRGAGACCATGCTGTGAAGTAGTGGGAATGAGATGCCCAAAGATCTCCTGGAAAAGAAACCACAATATCAGCAAGGACAAATGCTCTGGGAGCAGGGGGCCTGCAGAGAGGCCCAGTTGTGACCTGCAGCTGTGCATGCTCTGCCCCAACATGATGGGTAACTGGAAGGCCAGGAGAGGAGGAAAGGACCAAGGGCCTCCAAAAGCAAGCTCTGGCCCTTCTGCTGCCCTGGACAGGTCACACCAATGCTCAGGAACAGGCAGAGGACAAGAGGTGTCTGATGGGCCTGGCATCTAAGCAAGCATACAGGTTTGTTTACACCGATACGTGCTCACTTTGGGAACCATCTGCCAGCTGCCATTTTTCTCCTTGTCCCTTCAATTATCCCTGTGGGCTTGACAAGCTACGAGCTCACAGGCTTGCCACCGCTTTCACTGTCCTAACTCCCTTAGCCAGCCGACAAGCAAGTCCCAGCTCCTGTTCCTAGCAGGTACAGGGAAGGCCACAGAGGGTAACAGAAAGAACACCAAGTGTGGAGTCAGCCAAGGTCAAGTCCTGGATCAACACCGGCGGGGCAGCTTCCTGAACACAGACCAGCGACTTATCACTGCCAAGCCCCAGTGTCCTCATCCATAATGATGCAGCAAACATTAGACAGTCTATGTAATGCAATTAACACAGTGCCTGGAAATAGCAGTCAGCATAAATAGAGGGTCACTATCAACATCATTATCATTGGCATTTGTAATTGCTGTCATTAAATGAATGTCACCAAACCCTAACAGGTTACAGGGTCCCAAGTGTAAAACAGACCTCAGAAAGCACGAGTGGGAGCAATTTTCCAGGATTAATGACCCAGTTTTTCCAACTAATAAATTACAAGTAAAACAGAAAGAGAAGGGGAGATAGAGGTGGGAAACCTGTAGATCAAAAGACAGAAATTCATCCACCAGCTGCCGTGTGGCTTCTTATTCAAACATGATTTGAATTGGAAACTTGAACACTCACCAGATAGTCAACGTTAATGAAGAATTACTGTAATTTTTGGGTGTGACTTTTTATTTTTAAATCCATGCATCTTTTACGTAAAAAAAAAAAAAAAAATGACTCCCAGTTACATCTCCTATCGGGACYCATAGGAGACAACGTGTAAGCCAACATTGCGATGTTTCTGTGTCCAAGGTCCCAATTGATTCGGGAACTTTTGCGTTTTATTAAAATGATGATCACATCCACAGCTCTCTGTAGCATGTCATTATGGGTTTACTTCTTGCCAGCTTGATGCTTAAGCTTACTTATCCATAAATAGCAAACCTGTCATTATAATGAGAATAAATACTGCTAATATACCATTTATTTCACCAATGAGCAAAAACCTTGGGACTAACTACACTCATCCAGTAAGTGACGAGTATCCCAGAACCTGAGAAACCAGTCCACAGCTGGCTGAGCCCTGCCATATGGACAGAAGCAAAGTTCCGTTTGCAGAGGCTGGACAGGCAGTGCTGGGGCACAGGGCGGCAGAGGGAGCAAACAGGGGGGTGCAGAATGCCAAGCAAGACTCAGGGCAGTCAGAGGGCAGCACAGAGGAGAACTGAACTCCAGTGGACAGGGTGTGGAGGAGGATAAGAAGGGAAGTAACACATATCTATCTTACATCCTATAAGTTGGGACACTTCAGTGGCAAGCAACAGAAGCAGATTCTAAGCTAAAGTCAGAGAACACTGACTGTAAACAGCGGGGAAAGTGGGAGCATCTGGCTCAGAAGGAACTGGACCCAGAACAGCTGTGGCAAGTGCAACCCAGGGATACCAGGGGAGCCTCAGCAGGTGCACTGTAATCAGTKTGTGGAACAATGCTTCATGTGGCTTTTGGCAGACCAGATGGCCTCCCCAGCACCTTTGCATTCCTGTGTGACTCAGGAATTGAATCCCAGCTGCCCCACTTCAGACCAAACGCCCATCCTGAGCCAAGGGAGGGCAGAGTGCTTGGATTTTCTGACTCAACAAGGCAACTGAGAAAAGGTAGCCCCCAAAAGGACGTAGGAACCAAGGGAGAAACGGGCACAAGGGCACTTCCTGTCTGCTCCAGGTCATAACCTGGATCTTTGTGCTCAATCCCCAAAGCAACCCACTAGCAGCTTTTATTGGCTGACTGGGGCTTAATATCCTGGGTGGCCTACCCAGGGACTCATGGGAGAAAGTGGCAACCTGAACTCAGTACCACAAGGGACAGTGTGTGCCCTGCAGGCCACCAGGTAGAATCAAAGTCCAAATGCCTCCAATATCTGACATTCTTATTGAAGCCAACTGCTAGAATAGAATGCAAAAATCTCCAGAAATGAATCTAAACCAAAGAAATTGCACTTAAAAGATGCAAAGAAGCTGGTGTTGCATCTGTCCTTGAGGGTCCAAGGGCTTTCTCTTCAAACCCCTTAGTGAAAACCAATCCACCTCTTTTGATGCCTTACATCAGAGCCAGGGGAGTTTACAAAACAAATTCTGAGCACCGTCACTGCAGTCCAAGGAGGGAGGAGCTCTCTTTGCTTCTGCTGTGCTGGGGATGGAACCCAGGGCCTCGGACATGCTAGGCAACCCTCTGCCACTGAGCCACATTCCTAGCCYCAGAACAAGAAGAAAAAAAATTTTCACCTCCGGTCATTGGCAGTTGACGGTCACCCACTAGTGACAGATGTTTCTGTGGTGCTAACGTTAGGTTCTGAGCTGCCCTGACCCTGGGCTCAACGCCACCAAGAACAAAGGTGCTGCGTGAATGGGCAGTGGGCGCAGCGGTTTTCTTGATTCCTAAGATGAACACAGAAGTGAAATGCTCAGGAGCTCCCTTCACAGTGGGCGAATCGCAGGTTTGGGTGTCCCTACAGCCGTGTTATCTGACACGAAGCATGGCCTCTTCTTCCGCCCTTTGAAGTGGAAGAGCCTGTGTCAGCCCCTCACAGGCGCTCACTGCTCCACTCCCAAGAACAAGGTGGCAGAGCAACAGCCCCAAGCATGGCGACAAGGGCTCCATCCAGGCGAGCTGAGGGCTCAGCCAGTGCCTTGGCATCATGAAAGACTACAGCTTGTCACAGATGGGAGAACACTGGCAGAAACTGGCTATGCAACCAAGGAAGAATGAGACACAGTCAGGGCAGGACGTGCCCTGTGAGGATGTCTCTGCTTCAGGCACATAGCTGGCTGCTCCCAGCGGGAGTCACAGGCTGGTCAGAGAAAGCTTGACCTGAGCCACCAGTCCCCCATCCGGCAGCTCAACACTGCCACTGCCATCAGCCAACACCAAGTCTCACGCCCCACTGAATCAGTCTTCACAGAGGGGCTTGTGACGGGGGAAAAGAGGCCATGCGGGGCTGGACACGCTCCCCAGTCACAGCTCACCTTCCCTTGAGCTCACCTGAGTTGAAACTCAGGTTGCTGCTTAAGCCGCCCCCTTTGTTTAGGGGTAGTTTTAAGAACCACAGAAAGCATGGCATAAACATAGGAGATCAAACTGAGAATGAGCTTAAGGCATCCTCTTCCAGACCCACCCCCATAACCCCAACTCCAGCATGTTCCCATTAACAATTAGTAGGTCTTCTTCTAGTTATAAAATTAACTCACTGGAGAAGTCTTAGAAAGTACTGGAAGTCTCCTTATAGACCTCCATGTAGACATGAATCTACACACACAACCTGTAATACTACCCCCAGCTGAGTACCACAACATCATACACACACAAATAATAAAAACCTTGGTCCCAAGCTTCACCAATGATTGTGCTGACAGTGGATGGTTCATGATAATACCATGCCTAAAGACTTCAGTCCACATTCATCAAGATCACTTTCTTCAGGTATGGACGATGAACATTGTCAARTTTCATTACCTATCCAAATCAATTCTTTTTAATATTTTTAGTTGTAGATGGAMATAAATATTTGATTTATATTTTTATACGGTGCTAAGGATCAAACCCAGTATCACACATGGTAGGCAAGTGCTCTACCACTAAGCCACAACCCCAGCCCAATATCTGGTTTTTCTTCTTTAACTTCTTGGTAAGATGACTTACATGGATGAATTTCTAACGCCAAACCATCCTTCAAATTCTAAATACACTATTTTGTAAGTGCATTGATCCTTTAATATGTGGCTGAATTTGAGGAATCTCTTTCTAGAATCTTTGTACATCCTTACCTAAATGAAACAAATGCATAGTTTTTTTTATGCTTTGTCAGTTTTTAATAGAAGAGTGATATACCCTGGAACCGAGACACACACATGCACATACAGAACTGTGAGGAAATGCAAACAGCAGAAGGCTCTCTGTGGGTGCCCTGAAAGTGTTCCTGGAAATCGCCATGAAGCCATGGAGGCTCAACATCACCAGGGAAGCCGTTCTTTGATTGCTTTTTTCAACTTTCAAGCACAGCTTTTTGGCTCTTTCGGGCAGTGGGCMTCACCCTCAGTTGAATTTGGCATCGAATGCCATTCTAGGACACAGCCCAGCTCACCCACATCTCCAGCTCAGCAGCACAAGCCTGAATGCAGTGTTCTCTCCTGCCTTTATCCTTCAAATCTGAGTTTCATTTATGATGAATGGTACATATGTGCCCTTTCCCTCATTTCCTTACCATAAGTGCCAGATGTTTCCAATTAAGTGACATTTTTCAAAGAATCAACTTCACTTTCCTTTGTCTATACCGGTTTTATCTGTTTTGTTCTGTTGAGGGGGCGGGGCTTGATTGCTAAAATGGAGCCACTAGCAAGATGACCAGACTAGGCTTTGTCCCCAGAGGTTCCCAGAGCACAGATCCAAAACAGATGTGCAGCCTCCTCCCAGGCAACCTTACCTCAATGAGCTTCCTTTCGTAAGAGCTTGCGAGCTCTTCAGCAACTTCTCCTGGCTTCTGTTCAGGGACTGTAACTTCACCATCAACGTTCCAAAGATTTGGCACAACTTTAGGAAAAGAAAGACAGTCCATAAGAATATTACCACTAATCAGAAGTTACTTTCCCAGTTTAAAAAAACAAAACAAAAAAACTTCCTTCCCAAATGGCTTCTCCAGAGAGAGGAATTTATAACACTAAATCATCCTTCAAATCCTAAATACACTCCATATTGCAGGTGCATGGATCCTTTAATATGTGGCCGAATTCGAGGAATTCACAAGACGTGTATGCACACACACACTTACTAAATACTTGCACACCACAGCGTTCTCACGAAAGTATTTTATAACAGTAAAATGAGGATAAACTTCACTTCAGAACTGTCAGGAGAGACGCACAGGAGTCTGGGACAACCTCATCACTCTTCCATCCCATGGAAGCCATCACTGCCCCAACAACACAGRGGCCTACACTTGGATCTTTTACGTTGGCCAAATTTCTTTTTCAACAACATTACACCACAAGGTAGTGCCTGCCTCCAATCCAACGTAGGACGGTAATGGGGTTCTGGTGACAGGTAAGACCAAGAATTGGCTTCTGCGAGCCCTCCGAGGGCGACAGCTTCTATGAATGCTCTACTGTCAATGCATGAGTGACCACGAGGCCATGCCACAGGGAGATGCCTCCCAGGGCAGGGCACAGGACCCACAACCAGGTGCACATCCATGTGTATGGGCTTTTTCCAGAGAGCAGGTAAAGGAGGACTGGGAACTGCAGCCACGTGGTTCCCAGGAAAGTGAGACAACCAGAGCAGGAAGGAGCTCCTCCGGCAGGGGTGTGTCCCAAGAATAAGGCTCAGCCTGAGCCTCAGCACGAGGCTGTTTCCCGTGTACTCCCCACGACAGTTCTCCTGATGCCCTGGCAACCACGATGGTGAGGATCTAAGGCTCACCCCCGTGACCTCCAGGAGGGAGTGAACATGAGGAAGGCTGAGCAACACTGGAGTCCCCACACCTGACGTGATCTGTGGCCGTGCCCAGCCACCCAGTGGCTACAACTCCACCAGGACAGCTGGCTGGGCCTGCTGTGCCAGTGGCGTCCCAGCAACAGAACGCCTGCGCAATGCCGTTSCCGTGCCAGGGGACTGCCGCTGCAGCCCCTGCTGCAGTGACCYGGGGACAACCTATAGCTTGAAATAGTTATTTACAGAAAAAAAATGTAAAAGACTTCTAGTGAAAGACCAGAGCTGGAACTCATTAACTTGTACCCACATTCTCTCAAGATCCCATTAAGATATCAATTTAAATTTTTAAACTTACCCTTAAGGAAAAAGAGAACTACAGAGGAAACGACTGAATTACAGAAGCCGAGAGTGRGGTAAGAGAGTTCCACTCCCAGGTAGAAGTGGACAACACCCAAATTCAACCTATTAAGATGGAAGGACTCATGAAAGAATCACAAAGTGCTCATGCACACTCTGGGACAGGGGAATAAAAGATGGGCCAGAAACCAAAAATCAGGGGCCACAGGCCTGAGTGACAGGCAGACGGCAGAGCAGCCTRGGCTTGTGACATATGTAACACAGCAGCACGGGCTGAGCTGAGGGCCAGGCAGCTTAGAACAGCGAGAGAAGCGACACCCTGCGCCTGGGCTTCTCCCACTCTGCCCCTCTCCACCCACTCCCTCCCACAGTGAGCAGCCAACACACAGCTGCAGGGAGCAACAGGAGAGGGTCCCCTGTGAGCCTAAAGTGGCCAAGAGAGGAGAGGAGATGGAACTCAGGATGACACAGCCTGACCACATGCTGAGACCCCACATCAGTCTCCATGGAGCTGCCCATCCACCCTCGGGCACTGCTCCAACATGAGAGCACAGAACCAGGAATCACCACCCCTGAGACAYGGCAGCTCAGATCAAAGACAGGAGCAGAATGAACAAATGCAGCTTCTAGAGAGAGATGGGGGACTTCAAAAGCAAATTACCAGCAATGCTCACAGAGACAGAGGGGAGAAGACGGCRTCATAAGACAAGAACAGGGAAACAGTTTTCAAAAAGTGAAAACAGAGAACTAAAAAGCTCTTTTCTGCAGCTAAACCATGATAGCACAAGGGAACACTGACTAGAACACAGGAGGGTAGGAAACTTCCAGAAAACAGAGACAGCAGATAACTAAGTGGAAAATGAGAAAGGAAACACAAGAAAGGGGGGAAGACGACCCAGAGCAGGAACACGGCGAAACATCTCAAAAACCCCGCGCCCCAGGCACCATGTCAAGACTAAAGGGCTCAGTGAGCACGTGGCTCAGGGGGAGGCCACGGTCACCTTCTCAGCACCAGGGACACAGCACAGAGGCAGCTAGAGCAAAAGCTCAAGTGTCACCTGTCACAGAGGGCTTCACACTGGAAATAGCCTAAGGTTCTAAAGCCCTTTGGCCAACCAGGGATCAACAGAAAACATCTCCCACCTCAAATCACACGGCCAACCACGTGAGAGGTGGCACCCAGACATGCCACAGACACTCCGCCTCCCACGACAAGGAGGAAACAAATCCAGTAACAGTAGAGCACAGAATCCAAGTTACAGGGGATGAGCACACAGTGAGCCAGAGGATTTTTCATAAAACCCCAAAAGTGGCAAGACCCCAAATGATGAAGGGATGGACAAAGCACGGTCTGTCCTCACAGCATCCCACTCAACCACACAGAGGAATACAGCGCTGGGTCTTGCTGTGACATGGGCACACCTGGAAAGACTCCCAAAGCCATGCATCATGAGGACCTGTCCTCCTGAAACGCCCAGCACAGGGCCCTCACCAGGAGCTGGGACAGTCACCGCTAATGGGCCTGCAACTGCTTTCGGGGATAAGAAAGTTCTGGAATTGGTGTATGATGGTTGTACAACCTCATAAATGTAGTAAAAGCAGCTGAATGGTATGGTATGAATTAAATCTCAAAACTCTTATTTGAGAATTAAMAACAAAAGTGAGTCAGAGCTGGGAGCCACCAAACAGCAGGCTGCTAGCTGGGGCAGGTCAGCAGGCCCCAGAGACACGCTTCAGGATGCGAGTGACAGGTGACTCAATGTGCTTGAGCCTCCTGAGGGGGTTTCCATACTGAGAGGGACCAGGAGATCAGTCAGTGATGAGCACAGAGCACACGCATCAACGAAAGGAAAAAGAAATACAAGCTTTAACTCCAGGGACGCCGAAAGGCTGTGCAGGAAAAATGACCCTGTACCTGATGGCTTGGCACGTTCAGGTATAATAAAACAATCCCTGATACTGGTGTAAGCTAAATGATGCCGTGACTGTGCCCAAGGGGTGTGGGGGTGTGTGGTACCCATCTTCCACAGTGAGAAATCAATAATGCCTACAAGTGAAAAATCAGAAAGTGGCAACAGTCGTTCCGAGACACTGAGGCAACGACTGAAAGAAACAGTTTTAACAGTTTCAAACAATTGCTTTTGGGGAGCAGGAAATGGGGAGGATGGCAACCAAAGGTCTCACCTTTTTTATAATAAGGTTAAGAAAACAAATGGCTTTCATCAACCTGCCTACATCATTTGGGTTTAAAAACACAAACTAAACTTTTATATAAAACATGTGAGTGAGAATTTGAGGGACGCTTCCTTTAGAAATGAGACAGAAACATTAGACATGATGGCAGCCRTGCCCCTCAGCACAGCAACCCGGGTGGATGCAAGCAGGAGGGTKCCCGTGGCAAGACGGACCCAGCTGGCACGCAGCACCTGGTACTAATGTGCATCCAAAATGTCTAACTCAGAGYTAGCCCCCCATCTGCCTGGCTTCCAGATGTGCTGACCTTCACTGGGCCTAATTACCTCCCCACACAAGGAGATCCTGCTGATCGGGAAGACATGGCCACCCAAACCACCACATGCCCACACACCTCAGTGATCAGGCTACTGGCCTTCCAGGCACCAGCCCTCTGGGTGAGCATTTTTTAAAAATCAGCAATCTTCCATGCTGGGGGAAGCAGATGCAAAACTAAGACACTTAACCTTCACGACTGGGGACAGATCCTGGACAGTCACAAGTTTATAGAAGGTCCCTTAGAATCTAGTTAACTTTTCCTGCAACTCTCTGACCTCCTACTGGCCCGGTTCAGCTACTGCAGCTTTAATAAGTATAGCAGACACTCTAATTCTATGTAGGAAATAACATAATTAAACCTACTTCCAACGTGTCATTCTTTCCTCACCAGTAGGCCGCCTCAGGCACCGCATGGCCCCTGCCTCCCGGTTCTCACCTTCTTGTGTAATCTCTACCTGCTAAGTCTGCACTGGACTCACGGACTTGCCTCTAATAAAGTATATCTASAAGAATTGAAGCACTGTTACTCTGAGATAAGTTATAAGATCAGGTGGCTCCTGGCTGGGATGGCCTCCCCAGCCACCATCTTGTGAGGTGCCTGTGAAAACAACCCCCTCATATGGAACTCACAGATCCAGCCACGGGCACAAGGTCCTGGGCAGCAATGAATCCTCCACCACCGAGTCTCAGCTGACACCTTGATTTCACCTCATAACAGACTTTGCAAATAGAACAAGGCTAATCCATGCAAACCATGAGGTAGTAAGTATTTGCTGGTTAAAGCTGCTAAACTCTGAGAAGAAGCAGATAACCAATACGGGACCTTAAACTGTCAACAGGTGCTTCTGGAGAAACTGTTTCATACCCTGGAGTTTTAYAAAAGGTGAGGCAGTCCCGGATGGCTCAAGTTTACAAAAGAGAAACCTCAGGAGCAGACTTGCCCAGCCYGTCTCCACGCCCAGGGATGCCTACTCACCAAAGAGGGATGCACTCATTAGCTCAGATGCCTGTGTCCTCCCTGTGGCCAAAGGTGAACATGTGTTGAGGGACAGAAGCCATTCATCCTGCTAGGAGAGGGCCACACAAGCACAACGTCTGGTTTGCTTATTTTCAAGCCCAGATGATTTCATCAGTCTTGGGAGAGAGTGGGCACCTGAGTGTTCAAAGAAGGCAGCACAAAAGAAGTGTGGGCAGTGCCCAGTCATCTGAGTCAAGGCAGCAGGTTAGCGCGTTGG